AGATGATGATGATGATGATCTTTTTGGGAGATAATATGGAGAAAATAAAAATGTTTCCAGGGATATATTGAAATGGTTGAAATAAACCTTAGCTGTCCTGTTTGTAGTCTAGTATAATGTGTGTGACCAGTGTGTTAAGAATAATTTCCCTTGAATGAGTCTATTCCATAAATCATATGTAGTGCTGTTGTTAACAAAGCTTGTGAGATCTGTTGTTTCTTTTTACAACAAAAATTTAGGTCATAAGGCAGTAGGGTGGGGAAAACCACTCTGCAATTGCAGCTTATTCTAGGTTATTTCAGGGAACTCTGAATCCTCTAGTGCCCTTGGAGATGATGCCTCATTTCATCATCAGATTGACATGTTAACTGAGAGGCAGGTTTGCAGAGCCATTGTTTGTGTACTCTTGTTGCTTGCTCGCTCAGTAGGAAGGCTTCCTAATGGCTACTATTCTGTGATTGGCTTTATTCTGTGGATCATAAGCAGATAAACTACTGAGCCATAAAGCGTTAGAGTGGATTTATCTACCTGCTCCCAGCTTACCAATTCAAATGGCCAAAAACCTAGAGGGCTCTCAGAGAGAGTAGGGAAGACAGCCAGTCACCAGGGGAACGTGGCTGAGAAAGCTCAGGCCTATTATAAGAGAGCTATTGCCAGTGGACTCAGTAGCAGTAGGAGAGTGTTCCTGTACTACTACGAATAGGCAAATAGGCTCCTTTGGGAATCAGTATAGCCCGTCCCATGTGCCATCTGCTCTTGTTGTGTGACAGCAGTATGTGGAAGTGATTTTGGATGTTCATTTCCTTTTATTTGCATGAGCCATCAAATTTGTTGCTTTGCCAGCCTGCAGGCACAGGTGGTCCAGGTCAGTTAATTATGTCCATACTGATCAGGTGCTGAAGTTCCAAATAGAGTAAGATACAGAATAAGCTTATTGTTGGATTGCTGGATGTGGGGTATCTGTGGTTAGTTGGAAGAGAAATATAGTTGTGCTGATAGTGGTTTTCTAATAGCTCTCATTTTTATGCATGAGGAAAAATGTCCCATCAGTTACTATCCTGTAGTGTAACTCTGGATGTTATTTTTAGGGATGAAGCACTCTTATTCCAACTCCTGACCCATACATAGAAACAATCACTTTCTGAATTAGAAGATCATATAAAATAAAATATTATTCCTTAATAAAATGATACTTTAATAACAGAAGTCTCTCTACCTGTTCAATGAACAATAAAATGTAGGCACCAATATTTATTTTTACAAGCATAGATAAGTGGATCAGAGTTTTTCTTTGTTTCTAATTTTAAATAATGAACATTCATTAGTATATCTATGATCTGCCGATAACATGCACTTTAAGTTTGGATTGAGTTTGGCTTATTTAAATTTATTTTGGCTTGAATAAACTCAACTGTTGAGCCTGCAAATTAAGTTCCATACATTTCTCTTGGATGCAATCCAAAGGCAGCAAGTTCAATCAGACCTGGTCAGGTTTCTTTACTTTGCATCCTTCTGGGCACAGTGCTGCTGACTTTTCACAACCCCATTCATACATCTATTCACCAGGAAGGAATTTCTATCCTATAGTTGGCCTACATTTTTTTGATAAGCTGTTTCACCATCTAAGCTTCACACTGAGGGAGAGTCCCAACTTCACCTATGCTTTCTTCTGCAGCCCTGTAAAATATTTATAGAAATAAATATCTCCCTCAAGCTTCATGCTCTTTGTGTTCAGTTATTCTTCCAGACTGTCAAACATATGTTACTGTAGTTGAGTCTAGAGAGGGAAAGTGATGAGTTGGTTGTTGAGCTGACATCCTGCTAATTCTCTCTGGTACTTACTGTGGCTCTTCCATGAGACTATGCATGGTAGAAAATTGTGGGTGATTAATTAAGGATATTAAGTGAGAGAGACAGATCTGACCTATTGGCATAATTTAGCCTTCTCCATCCTGGCCCTCCAGTTGCAGTCAACTATTTTGAAACTGTTTAAACAACTCCAGATAGTTTCCTGACCACTCTCCTGGCAGGCTATTGCACACAATCAGGCATCAGGTTGAGGAAAACTGGCATAATCCACCAGGATCTGGGGAGTTCTCCTCATAAGACTCACTGAAATGACCAGGAGTTGGAAGTATGTGCTCTGATGTAGGTCCTGTAGATTTAATAGGGACCTGTTCTGCAGAACTTCCAGGTGGAATTAGCAGGTCTCAAGCTAGCCTAAGCAGTGTCACACTATACTAAGCCTTCAGGAGAGTTTGTAATCTTTTGGGTGCTCTTGTATGTTAATTCTTATTGAATACAAGGACTTCTTGGGAATTTCCAAATTGTACCTATTTGGTTCATTGTGGAAAATAATAAAGCTTTTGAGGTTAGGCTAGTCTGAAGAAAATATGAGCTCTTCAACAGCATGGCTTATGGACATTGTTTCTGTCTTCTAGATCAATATTTGATGGTAGTTATTGTTCTGTTCATTGTTCAAGGAATGGACACTCTCGTGATGTGGATGGTACTTAGCGAGTTGGTGGAGAAATGCACAGTAGAATCCTTGAACCCAGTATATTTTAGATAGTAGGCAATCCTTCAGCAATATGAACCAATGAAACTGTAGCCAAACGAATGAGACCATAGGCAGAATTACCCAGAATATGTAGATTTTGTTCCACTCACTGGCTGCTCTGGTCTGGTAGGTTGCTGAAGGTGTTTTAAAGCATGTGTCACTGTGTAGAGGCTTGATTTGAAAGATCTGTGTTGAAGCATCTTGAGATATTTTGCAGCCCCGTTGTTGTTAGGAGCTTGCCTAATAAGGCAACTGGGCAACTTAGGGCTCCCAGTCCTTTTACTACTTAGATCCAGTCCACTACTGGAAAACCACATTCATGATTAACCATGCTAAATCCATCACGCTCCAAGACATTCCTTGTTGGCAGGTACAGTTCACTGCCACTGCTGGAGTGTTCTGGTTTAACTACCAGCTCTAAATGGAACATCCGTAGTGCTGTGTTTATTTCTCATTCACTTTCCAATCCAAAGTGCTTGAAAAGGCCCCTGAGGCTCTGGCACGTGCCTGCTTTCTCTGCCTCACTGGCTTTGTTTATATAATTCTTTGGGTAGGTCTGTCTGGTTGGTTTTTAAGGACTGGGGAAATACACCATTGTGGCAATTAAGCTCTGACAGTGGAATCATGGTTACTGGAGAAAAGGTTCTTGTTCAGATGCTAAAGGTACCTGTGCCTTTGTATGTTGCCACTTTCCCCCTCCTGGATGCGTTGCCCAGGGGGCAGAGTCACAGCGTTTAAATACTTGATACTATAATAGCATTGCTTGAGTTGTCATCAGTAGTGCTCAGGTTCTGCTGTTCCCTCTTTGAGTCCTCTGGTCTCTCTGGGAGCTAGCAATACTCCTAAACCTCTGATGCTCTGTTTTGCCTAGGGTGTGGTGATGGCCACCATCCTAGCTAGGTGAGGATGAGTCAAATAAATTATCAATGGTTTCTAGTTGTGCTGGCTATATTCTACAGGATTGGAGCAGCACACCTCTGATTACTGGTTGCCTGGGAGCAGGTCTATGTGTGGGTGCTGTTGTACTTATGTCTTTGGTGTGCGCTTCCTGTAGGTTTTAACGGACTATTGTGGGGAATGGGATGCTAGACTAGACAGGCCTTTGGGAGGATTCAGGAAGGTACTTCTTATGTTCTTATGCAGTCCAGAGAAACTCACCGAAGAAACCCTTACAGGCTCAATATAAGTTGTTCCTGTTGCCCTTTGCATCCTAAGTGTCTAGACCGGAGCAACAGTGTGCCTGTGGACACTTTCTTGGTACCTGTCGAGGTACCCTACCCCACCTACAGAAAAAACCTCAGAAATAATGGACCTTCTTACTGCCAGCTGGGATTACTTCAGGGCACATTGAGGGCCACTAGCTGCCCCTGTCTTTTCCCATGAAAGTGTCCGCACCACATAGGTTGCTCAGCCACATTCTAATGTAATGAAGTTGTCAGGTGACTGCAGACTGATGCGTTGATCTCCAGTCATATCCTTAAATTGCAAAATGTGCCTACAGATCCCAGAAGGTTGCACACATAGTAGCACCTGCTAAAGCACTCGTTGGAACTTAAAGTTTGTAGAAAGCAACCACCCATGCTCTTGCACAATAGCACAGAACTGACCAAAAAATACTGTTTCTCTCACTGTATCTGGTTCTCTTTTCCTAAGAGGGGCAAATGTGTTCCTGAAATAAATCACTCTGCTTCCTTCAGACAGTTTACCACAGCCCTGCTTTTTTCTCCTGTTGCTTCAGAGAGTTTATGTACATGCACTTTCAACAGTCCATGGACTGGCAGAACCTTCTTAACCCTCTATCATGTGTGGTTAGTACCACAAGTGCAGAATGAACTGATTTTAGCTTTTCAGTTGTAGCAATGTGGTTCTAAATGTGGTTGGAAGTATCTTAATGTAATGTGATTTAATGTTTCATTCTGTATTGTATGTTATTGTATTTATTACTGTTGTTCACTGGCCAGAGAGCTTCTGCTATTGGGTGGTATTGAAGTTGAATAAATAAATGTGCATCTGTACTTTAGTAGATCTCCAGTCTGGTTATTGTTATTGAAATAAGGCAAATGGTGACAGTGTTACCAAAGACACATCTTACCATAAACATGCAATACTCTACATACAAAAAACCATCCATAGGATAGTGGTCTAAGAGTATTAATATTGCTGCTAAAATTTGGTGGTATTTAATTGCTGTCTGGTATTCCTTTGCGGCTTGAGCCTCTTCTTTTTGACAGACTTTGCTAACCATTCTCTTTCTGATGTTAGCAGGAAGGGCTAACATTTTATTCTATTAAAGATATTATATATCATGTCATTTTGCAAAAAAAGAGCTCTTGTCTACTTTGCCCCCTGTCTCCTTATGTTTTTCTGTTGTAACTCATACACAGAGTTTGTGGCTTCTGTCCTGTCTCACTTTGACTATTGTGGTGTCTGTCTTTCTCAGGATGAGATTGAGGAACTACGTGCTGAAATGCTAGAGATGAGAGATGTCTATATGGAAGAAGATGTCTACCAGCTACAGGAGCTCCGACAGCAACTGGACCAAGCTAGTAAAACCTGCCGTATCTTACAGTATCGTTTGCGTAAGGCAGAACGGCGCAGCCTTCGTGTTGCACAGACTGGCCAGGTAGACGGAGAACTCATTCACAGCCTTGAACAAGATGTCAAGGTAAGCCTTGCCAGTACACATTTTTGTCCATCACAAAGGAGGAGACAATTAAATGATTTTAAGATATATGTCTGTGGTTGGCTCATGTAGTTGAGTAGTGTTTATTTTGACCATTGGCATATCTCCGAAGTCTCAAGTAGAGGTCTTTCCTAGTTCTAATACAGTAAATCCTTTAACTGGAGAAAGAGAGTTAAGCTAGGATCTGTCATGTTCAAATCTGATGCTTTGCTACTCAGCCCTATTTAATGTTCATTTCATGGATTGTTTGGAAAAAATGGCTTAAAATATTTGCTAAGAAATGGATCTGGGGCCTGGACAAGCACTGGAGATCTTTTGGAAGATTTTTGAATTGTTGTTATATTCTAGGGGATTTCACGAGGCTTGGATTCCTTTGCACAAATTGTCTTATTTGTCAATAAAGGCAAGATAGCACCAAGTGAGTAAAGACAAACAAGTAGAGATCATAAATGATGTCATAGGAGGCTAGACTCAAGGCATCATCATCTATGTGTTTGTATATTTCACAATTCCATGACTTCCTATGTGATCATTGAAGTGGCATTTGGTGCATAATCCAGCTTTTAAAAAGAAATATTTCTGGCCTTTATGATGTTGATGGTATGTGGGCAATGCTAACTGAAATCTCAGGAGCCAGGTATGTACAGAGAGAGGAGCAGGGTTTCCGTGACTGGGATAGCTCTTTGACTATCACCGTGACTGTCACCATGACTAACAGAAGAAGAATAAACATATGTACACACAAAAAAGCCCAAAATGTGACTGTTAAATTTGCACAGATGTCCTGAAACTGAGCTTTGCTTGGTGCAGAATTTGAGTCACTTTCATGTCGAACTTTGGTTTGTTAATTTGTTTCATGAAAAAGCATAGAGACTATAACCCTACATTGGATCTTCCTGCTTTATGCCTTCATGGTAAGAACAGGCAGCAAAATTCTCTGTTTGAGATGCTCTGAAGAACCGCCTTGAGCTCTTATACTTGCCTAATTTGCTGTGAGATTTTGTTGCCACACCAACTCAAAATCAATTTTGAGTTATTAGTTGCGGTTACATTTACATTGCTGTCACATTGCACATGTTTCAGAGTCATGTGAGGGCAAAGCCTTTCTCTCTGCTTTGGAAAAGAGATCTACTGCCTGTCTTTTTAGAAGCCTGATGTTCTCTCAACAGTCTTGAGGGTCAGTTAGACTGAAAAACTAATTTTCCCAGTGTTCCCTGTTAGAGTGCACAATAACTGCCTATGAATTTGAATCTGTAATTTTTAGAGAAGAGATTTCCAGTTGCGGCTGGGTTGCTGTCTGCTTATACTCCTCCCCATACATTCTCCTTTCCAGTACTTGGGCTCCTGGAGGATGTACAGGCTAGGGAAGGGTTAGCTATAAGAATATGATGTCTTGTCAGCTCAGTTTACAGTCATGAGAACTAAGCAGCTGACCAAAGTGCTGAGCCCCTCCCTTGAGCTGCCTGAAGGCCTGAGCTAGTTTGAGATGATTGTACTGGCCAGCTGGGCAGTGCAGATGCTGCTTTGCTCTGGCACTTTCTTGGCAGTGCTGAGTGATAATCTCTGGAGGAATGCCTTCTCTCTCATTGGGCATAAAGCTTGTTCTGTGGTCCTTTCACTACAGTCCTATACCTAATAGTATAGGTATGAGGGGAGCAGAAACACACGCTGTTGGGGTAGAAAAGGGCTGGAAAAGAGATTCAGCAAAATGTGTAGGTATGCCCCTTTGACTGGCATGATTGGAATGAGAGAAGAAAGAACTGGGTAGATAATGCTGCACGGAGAAGGAGACTAGGCTGATATTAGCCTGCCTCTCTAGAAACCCTTTTTTGCCATGATTACAAAAGCAGGAACCTTTTGCTTCAGAGCTTAAGTATTCTTCTGGGCGACATGCATACAAACAACTAGCCCCCCCCCCCCCCGCTTTTCAATTAATCTGAATGTACTAGTTCAGCAAAGAACTTGCCATTGCCACAAGGGCTCTGTGTAGGCTGCATCTACTTAAAAATGTATGGGATTCAGTAGTAGGATTATCATCACACTTCCCACTCTGTGGTCTAGACTCATGCGAAGTAAAGGAAGTTTGGTTCTTTAGCAGTATGCTGTGGCAGGATTTGGCTATCTCATGACCCTGTAGGCTTGACAGTTAAGCTATAACCTTTGACCTGCTAAACCACACAGGCAATATTTTAAATAAAACAGAGCTCCTAGACTCCACACACAGCCTATCTGTTTCATTATACTTGCCAGAGAGAGAACATGAAAGCCATAATAATACGTAGAAGCAGTTTTTGTCCTTCATGGAACAACAGTGCAGTAGACATATACCATTGACTCTGTAAAATCAAGGGCAATTATTCAGCAAAGTTAACTTGAAAATTATCTGTTTACTTACCTGGCCAGCTAGGGAAGGATTGAACAATCAGTGCCAACATTGCCAATAATTTCCAGTGGACAGCTATTATTTGTAACTTCTTGTATAATGAGCCTGTTTACTTGTCTTGGTCTAAGCTTCCTTGAGAGCAGAGATACTTTTGCACTGCTTCACTGGGAAACATAGCAAAGCCTGAGGCTGAACCAAGCCTTGTCCTTTACACAAAGGAGTGAATCTGCTGCCAAGTGCCCCAGGCAACTGCAAATGGCTGATCTTGGAAATGAAGCATGCCACAAGTGACTGATGACAATCTCCATCCAAGCATCCACTGCTAACTGCTCTATAATTAAGAGGATATGCTTGCGTGGTTGTTAAAAGTAAATATAGCTACTATCCACACCTGCCAGAGTCCCATAAAATGTGTTCGTGTTGGTTTATGTACAGCATTAGTTGAAATCTTGCTCTTCTAACAACCACTGTTTTGTCTGTTGCCTTTTCTGTTTCCATCTAGAGCAAGATGTGGGCAATTTGTGGCTCTCCAGATGTTTTGGCCTACAACTTCCATTAACTCTAGTCAGCATACCCAATTGTGAGCATTGAACAGTTAGATCCTAGTGTTTGGAGGTTTGCAAATTGCTTGCCTCTGGGTTAGAGAAACCTACTGATGCTGTTGCTTTCTGGTTCTGGAAAAAAAACCCAATGGTTTCAAAACCAGGCAGATTGCAACAAATGTCTGAGGGGCTTTGCATATGTGCACCCTGCATTTCGGCTGCTCTTTTGCAGTTAACTCCATTCAGCTTCACATCAGCATAACCAGTGGCTCAGCTTATTTGTAGAGCATGGTGTGGTATCTGTTTGCATACATGTTGTATCTAGCTATGCATCTTGATCTGTAGGCATAGCAGATGATCCATTTTTATTAGAGAAAAGGCACAAAACTGCTTTTACAGGATATAGTATAATATACAAGATACACGAGTATGATTTTTTTCCAAAGAAACTGCAGAAATTTTAAGGGCATTAGAAATACTAGGATCATTAGTGCATTCTGTAGCTGTAGTTAGTGGTACAGAAACCAGACCTCTGCCTCACTTATATCACATCAGGTTGAGGCCATTAGAATGTTAGAAATATTAGAACTTTTTGTTAGTCACAGTTAGTGATACAGGAGCTGCTGTTTGCTGTAGGAGTATGGGAATAAGATTGATTTGGAAACTGCATCAGAGATTTGAAATGAAGCACTTATTTTGCTCCTTCAGCCCTGCTGTTTTGTCCGTACGGGTCATTGCATGGATTGATTCTTTTCTGAGTTGGATGTGGTGCGATAGCTCCCATATGTTTGTCAGGCTGCATTTTTCTGCTCTCTGATTGCCCTGCAGCCAGTGACAGCTGCCTCCTGGTTGCCTTAACATTCACTACTGTCAAGTGCTTTGCTTGCAGAAGCAGGAAATAACTGAAGTTTTTTTCTCTTTAATGGTGCTGCTTAGAGCTTCAAGCTGAGCCCATTCCACAGTCGTTACCGTGGTGCCACTTGCCCCTCTGCTAGCTCAATTTTCAGTTCCCATAGTCAGGATGCCCCTGGGAATTTGTATAAATAACTGCAAAAGGTGACACACAGGGCAGCTGCTTCTCCATGATCAGCTGTATAGTGGGTCACTGCATGCTTTTTTCCATAACCCACTGCCATACCCTTTCCTCTCCAACCTGTTATGTCCATCATGATTGCTTTGGTAATGCTTTAGGTTCCTGCCCTTTGCCCTTCACATTTGTTGTGGTACAAAGCCCTTGCCAGTGTACTATCCTAATAGGGAAGTCTGTACATTTAATCCCATCCCCCGTTACACATGCTTAAGTGTAGCAGTTTGCTCTGATCTCTCTCTGATCTGTGCTTGTGTACCACAGGAAGAACAAAAGGAAGAAGAAAGAAATAACTTTATTCTAGTTTTCCTGAACAGCAAAGCAGTAGCTATGTAATTATACATCCGGTGTACACAATTTTAGTAATGAGCTTGCTAGGCAAAGGCTCTTTTGAAAAAGTATACTAATTTATATACAGTGTTAGAAATATACAAGTAAGCATGATAATCATTTGTATACTATAAATCATTAACATGATGGATGGTCATTTAAATGAAAATGCTTTTTCAAAAGTACTGTAACCTTTCAATGATACTTTCTCTGTATTAGTTTATCAGTTATATGTTGACTTGGGTTCACACAAACAGAACAGAAAGAAGCTACATCACGTTTTCCCCCTCCTCATGCATGCTACTCGCACACTGCCTCATTTCCCTAATTGCTGATGCTGAGTACAGGTTGCTGTATCATCCAAACCTGGCAATGTGGGTGACTTCTAAACGGCCCCTCAACCCATGGCTTGTTTTAGGGTTCCAGTATGGTTTGGCATCAACCCCCAACACCCACCCTTTCCAGGTTTAGGTGACATGGTAACCCATGACCAGTTCAGAAATGAGATTATGGAATTATGGAAATGAGACAGTATGCAGTCAACATGTGTGATGCACAAAAAGAGAAAAAGAAGCCACCTGTGGCTTTTTTCCTTTTCTGATTGTGTAACCTAGTCATTGAAATAAAGGAATAGTTTCTTCAACAACTTTTTTCTATAACTCTTGACTTTAGACCATTTTTGATAGCTTCCTAATTTTATTTATTTTATTTACATCCCATTTTTTCCTTTTAAGTAACTCAAGGCAGCTTACATAATTCTCCTCTTAATTTTATTCTTAGAACAACAACCCTGTGAGGTAGATTGGGCTGAGAGTCTGTGACTATCCCAATGTCACCCACTCAGCTCCATGGCTGAGTGGGGACGAGAACTCATTCTCCTGAGTCCCAATTCTGCCCTTTTAACTGCTACACTGTACTGGCCCAGATATATAGTGGTACCTCGGCTCACAAACTTAATTCGTTCCACGATTCTGGTCGTGAACTGAATTCGTCATGAACTGAGTCAAATTTCCCCATAAGGTTCAATGTAAATAAGGTTAATCCATTCTGAACCATAACTTTATGTTATACATAAAGGACAGCATATAAAAGTTTAAAATAAATAAATATGGATATATTTTTGTTGCCACAAAAACATGGGCCACGTCCCCGGGCTGTGGGCCAAGTTAAGGCCACCTCGCCAAGCCCAGGGGCGGATGGGTTGAGGCGGAGCGGGAACGGGGCCGCAGCTCCCTTGCTTCTGCCGCAGCCTTCTCCAGGCAAGCCGTGGTCACTGAGTGGCCTCCATGCTTCTTCCCCCCATGGTGAGGAGAGGCGGGAGGTGCCCCACTTGGCCAGTCGCGGCCCTGTCCCTCCCCTCCCCTTGGCCCACGGAAGCAGCCCTCACCTCCCTCCTTGCGACCCTCTCCTGGCTGGGGGAGCAGCCCTGCACCCACCTCTCTGGCCTCCTGCTCCCCCTCCCGGAGCCGGGTGCCTGCAAGGGGACCTTCCTCTGGCTCGGAAGTGGGGCATCGGCGAGGAGCCAGGAAGGCCTTGACCAAGGTGAGTGCACCCTCATGGTGCGGGGAGGAAAATTATTGTTTGGACTGTTTGGGCGGGGAAGATGGCCACGATCATGGTCGTCACCTGATGCAAAGTTTGCAAATGGAGGCAAAATTTTGCCAGGACTTCTGTTTGCAAACCGAATTGGTTGGGAACAGAACCGTTCGTGAACTGAGGTACCACTGTACATATTGAGCTAAACACTTTTGTCTTCCAGCTCCTCAAGAAACCTTCTTACCATATTTTGGGTAAAATGTAGCCCATTCTTCACCCAGTTGAGCTCAGTACTGATTGGCTGGTTCCTCTGTCAGTCATGAAGCCACTTTCCCTGTTCTTTGCACATTTTTTAAGTGGATACAGTTTTAAATCAAGAAATAAATATTTGGTTAGATAAATGTGTGTGGTTTTTGAAGAAGAAAAATGCAGGTGGTCCATCTGAAGCCTTGGGGAGAAGGGGCAAACAAGGAGTCAAGCAGCATTCAGCTGGACTCTGTCAGAGGTGTGAGGTGGAAAGAAGAACTCTTTTTGTTTGCAGATTTGGCTGTATATAGCCTAAATGTTGCTTGTAAAGTTGTTGTTTCTTACACATCTCATAGTGCTTCCTCTATTTTATTTGTAGTGCTTTCCATTGGGAAGACAGTGCTTGGTCTTGAAATTTAAATTTTGCTATCTAGTTCCTTCTTCCCTCTATGGTAGAAAGAAAAGGTCATTTTTTGTGTGCAGTTAATTTTCTCCCTCCCAATGAGGACCCTCTCCTCTTTCCTTGGATGTGATAAAGGAAAACCTCTGAACCTAGTAATCAGACAGACCCACACTGTGAGTGCATTATTGTTGAAGAGGTCAACCCTTGACTGTCCCTAGGGGCCAGGATTCATTGCTTTGGATTTGCTGGAGAATGTTTGCAAACTTCAGGTTAATCAGCAATGTCACACTACTTGCAGCTTCCTGTGTCAACAGATGTATTAGGTGATATCTGCAGTGCTAAGGTATGGTCTCTGATTCTGGGTTCTACAACTCCCTGCAGGAGACAGTAAAGCTCTACTCCTGTGGCCTGTGTCTGCCATTTGCACCTGACAGATATAGTTTAAAGTTGGAGTTTTGGTTATTCAACAGGTTCACATTAATTTAGCTTCCTCTTGTATTAAGGCTTTGGTATTGGCTGACATTTTCTAGACACAGCTTTCTTCAGCTTAGGGGTTTTGTAGCTGAATACATCTGGAGGCCACCTGGTTGGGGCAAGCAATATGACCTGAGTGCTGCTGCTGGCTCCCTGTCAGTTACACAGCCTGAGTCTGTCTGAATGCTACTGCCAAAATTTGTTCAATTCTGGTCAGCTCACAACAGAAGATTTTGGTTCTTAATATAATTGCTCATTGCTATAGGAGCAATGGATAGTGCCATAAAAATCTCTAGGCTGCCCATTGCCATCATTTATGAACCTGTTAGTAGCTTGTCTAAGGCATACCCTTTAACCTTTGGGTACCTTCTTTATTTCAAACGTTCTTTCTTGAATGTATTCTGACTCATGGGGAAAAAACCCTTGCTCAATAATGTAGCAGCACTAGCTTGCTACCCCTTCTCTGTTCCTGTGTAGTCTCAAAAAATAATAGGAAGTGACTTTGACACATCCTAAGGCTCTAGGGACAGGAATTTACATCAGATTTCACTATAATTCATATGTAGAGCTCGTTCTGAAATCTGCTGATGTGCATATTTGAAACTTGCTGATGCAGCTGGTAAACGTGTCATATAGGACAATCAGTCCCTCTCCTGTATCCAGGAGAGCTGGCATTCAAAGTACCATTGTAGATACAGAATATATTTTTCAAAAGCTCTAATTTTCTTCAGCTGTGCAGCAGAGCATAAATGAATAATGCAATTGAATTCTGAGAAGGGATTTCACACGCTTCAAGGATAGTGAAATTAAGAAGTGACTTCTCTCCAAACTTCTGGTTATTATGCAGGCATGACAAGATGTATGTACAGCTCATACTTTTACCTTCTGGGAAGATGAATGAATGCCTTGCACATTTTTCAGGCACATGAGTCACTTATGCTTCTTCTTTCAGTACTTGTCTTGTTAACTTGTGCAAAGCCTCTGTGTTTACTACATTGTTGCAGCCTTCATAAGGACTAGGCCACAAGGCATTGTTTGCAGTAAAAGTGGGGGAGAATCCCTCAATGAAAGCTGTAAAATCTCTCTCAACAACTCTTCATACCGTGGGCATGATTATGTCAATGCAACTTGAATTAAAGGACTTGAACAATGAAATTAGTGCAAACTCTTTAGTTGCTGCTATATGCTGTAGGGCATGCTTGGGTGCTATTGAGCAATGCTGACTGGGAGCATGCGTTTGGGAAGAAAATCTTGCTCTTTCTGGATATATCAGGGTACCTCTTTTTGCCTAGTTTAGAATGTGTTTTGCAGCAGAGTTATTCTGATGGGATACATAGCCTTGGTCAAAAGAATGTGTCTGAAGCCCAGTGTTGGCATTGCTGCCAAATAAAGATTAACGTGAAATGGAGCACTGTGCATCTGATCTAAGGTCTGAACTTTATGCTGCTGCTTTTCTCTGTCTGCAGGTTGCCAAAGATATCTCTGTGCGGCTCCATAATGAACTTGAAGCTGTGGAGAAAAAACGCATTAAACTGGAAGAAGAGAATGAGGACTTACGCCAGCGGCTCATCGAGAGCGAATTGGCTAAGCAGGTACTGCAGAACGAGATGGACAAACTGAGAGAGGTAGGTTTCAGCTTTCAGGTACATTTATTTATTGCATCTGTATTCTAACTTCTTTCCAAGAGTTCTGAGAAGTATTTTGGTATGACAAAAAGCCAACGAGGTAAGTTAGGCTGAGGAAGAGTGACTTCTTCAAGCCTCTTCTGGTGAATCTCTTGGCCAACCGAGATTTTGTTTGTCTGCTTTCGTCCACTAGCCACTGCACCATGAAAGAGCCCTTTGTTGTGGTGAAAAAACATGGCCATGCCATCCTTTTCATTTCAAACAGCAAGGAATTCCAGAACCATAGTGAATGTCTCAGTGGCTCATCAGTGTATATAGAAAACACTTAATGTGTTTCCATAGATTCTTCTTTGTGGCCTCTGTGACTCACGCATATGGTTTTTATGCATCTGTGTCAGTGTCTGGAATGTTCTAGTGCTAAGCAGAGCCCTGCTCCTTCTCTCCACACCCTCAAGGTGGAGGCTTCTGACTCTGTCTCAGTTCTTCCTTTTCTGCCGCAGTGACAGGCATCAGCGCTCAACCTCAAGCCAGAACTTTCAAGGCCTTCTTCAAAAAGTGCTCTCACTTCGGCAGGAAATTTCCCTCATCAGACAGGCTTTCTGAGTGTCTTTTGTACCACGGAGGAGCTCTCAGGGCAGACTCTTGCTCCCATTGCAAAGCTTTCACTAAGAAGGCCAGGAGGAGTAGGTCAGACCACCTCCATGTTCTCCTCTGGGATCAAAAGGCAGTGGAGTCAAGTTGCACCAAATAGACCTTTGCATACTGCTTCATCCACTATTTGCAAAAGGTCACCTGCTTCCTCTATCATTGTTATGGAGAGCATGGCCACAGTCAGCTCCCTTGATGGCACCCAGTAATCCGGTACTGGTACTTCTAGCTGTCTCCCTTGCCCAATGATTCAAGGCTAGCCTTTTAGAGCCTATGGTAGAGCCTTTTAGAGCCTTTTAGAGCTATAAAGCGCCGCAGGGGGGAGCGCCGGCGGGAGGAACAACACCTGGCAGGAGACCGCGCCCGCGCCCGAGAACCACACCGCGCCCAAAGACCGCGCCGCGCACGCGCCCAAAGACCGCGCCGCGCACGCGCCCGAAGACCGCGTGAAGACTGCACCGCGCCGCCGGCTCCGCCGCTACCTGACTGCCCTGCCACGCCCCTGCACACGTGGCAGGTGTGCCCGGACGGGGTGGGGCGTCGGGTGGCCGGCGGCTACAAAGTGCTGCAGGGGGGAGCGCCGGCAGGAGGAACAACACCTGGCAGGAGACCGCGCCCGCGCCCGAGAACCGCACCGCGCCCAAAGACCGCGCCGCGCACGCGCCCAAAGACCGCGCCGCGCACGCGCCCGAAGACCACGCCGCGCACGCGCCCGAAGACCACGCCGCGCACGCGCCCGAAGACCGCACGAAGACCGCGCCGCGCCGCCGACTCCGCCGCTACCTGACTGCCCTGCCACGCCCCTGCACACGTGGCAGGTGTGCCCGGACGGGGTGGGGCGTCGGGCGGCCGGCGGCTACAAAGCACCAGCAGCGGCCGGGGCCGGCGGCCAAAGGGCGTCGGCCAAAGGGCGGTTTGCCGCCATTTGGGGGGGCTGTTCGGGGGGGGCTAGGCTGGCCAGGGGACTTGCTCTTTTGTTGTGGCAGTCCCTTCTGTTGAACGGCCAATTTTAAATGTTTTATAATTTTAAAGTGTTTTAACTTGTTTTTATGGAGTTGTCCCTGGCCATGTTGCCGCCTGAGTTTCCTGGGGAGCGCACTGGCGCCGCCATTGGTGTGGTGATGGGCAATGGACGTAATAGCGGTGGGGGCTTAACGTGTCCGCATAGAAGAAGGAGGGACAGATGGCTGACACCTGTCCCTACTTCTGGTTTTGCTCCCAGCCAGAAGGTGCCAGGGAGTCTTGTCAGTCGCCCCTCGGGCCTGACGGTGCTGTTGTTTAATGCCAGGTCGGCCAATAACAAATCTGCCCTCATCCATGACTTGATTGTGGATGAGGGGGCCGACCTGGCCTGTATAACGGAGACCTGGGCGGGAGAGGGGGGGGATGTTGCCCTCTCTCAATTGTGCCCGCCCGGGTATCTGGTCCAGCACTGTTCACGGCCGGAGGGGAGGGGAGGGGGGGTCGCTTTGGTTTACCGGGCCTCCATCACTCTCACGGGACTTCCTGTCCCTTCGAGACCAGGGCTGGAGTGTCTCTACTTGGTGTTGGGCGACCGAGACAGATTGGGGATTCTGTTGGTGTACCGTGCACCCTTCTGCCCAACAGTCTCCCTGCCTGAGCTGACGGAAACGGTCTCGGACCTGGTGTTGAGGACCCCCAGGATGCTGGTCCTGGGGGACTTCAATATCCATGCCGAGGCTAGTTTGACCAGGGCGGCTCAGGACTTCATGGCTTCCATGACGGCCATGGGGCTGTCTCAACATGTCACCGGCCCGACCCATGAACGTGGACACACTCTGGACCTGGTTTTCTCGACGGGGCAGGAAGAGGGTGGTCTGAGGGTGAGGAATTTATGCTTGACTCCCCTGTCATGGTCAGATCACTTCCTAGTGAGGTTTGTGCTCGAGAGCGACATCTCCCTCTGTAAGGGTGCAGACCCGATTGTGTGGGTCCGCCCCCGGAGCCGGATGGATCCGGAAGGATTCCTGAAGGCTCTGGGGGAGTTTCCGGCTGACAAGACGGGTGCTCCTGTCGAGGCTCTGGTTGAACTGTGGAATGGGGAGATGACCAGGGCTGTAGACACGATCGCTCCTAAGCGTCCTCTCCCACCGGGCAGAGCCCGCTCTTCCCCTTGGTACACTCCAGAATTGAGGGCAATGAAGCAGGTTGGGAGACGACTAGAGCGTAGGTGGAGGAAATCACGTGATGAATCTGACCGAACACACTTAAGAGCCCACTATCGGGCCTATGCTGTGGCGGTGAGGGCGGCGAAAAAGAGACACTTCTCCGCTTCCATTGCCTCCTCACAATGCCGTCCGGCGGAGCTCTTTCGAGTGGTGCAAGGCCTGGTTCACCCAGGGCCAAAGGAAGAGCTGACTCCACCCTCAAAGGCCCGCTGTGACGACTTTGCCGAGCATTTTAGGGAGAAAATCGCTCAGATTCGTCACGAGCTGGATTCCACTATTGATTCAGAGGTTTTAAGGGAGACACCAACGCTGCCGTCTGGTCCAGAATTATTGGATGAATTTCAGTTATTGCGGCCCGATGATGTGGACAAGGTGCTTGGACGAGTACGTCCTACCACTTGCCTTCTGGACCCTTGCCCGTCTTGGTTAATAAAGGATTCCAAGCACGGGATTGGAACCTGGATCTTGGAAGTGGTTAACGCTTCTCTGAGGGAGGGTCGGGTGCCTGCCCCTTTAAAGGAGGCGGTAGTCCGACCGGTCCTGAAGAAGGCGTCACTGGATCCAGGGATGGCCGCTAACTATAGACCAGTGGCCAACATCCCGTTTCTGGGCAAGGTGTTAGAGCGAGTGGTGGCGGGACAACTCCAAGCACTCTTGGATGAAACTGATTATCTGGACCCATTTCAGTCCGGCTTCAGACCCGGGTACGGTACTGAATCTGCCTTGGTCGCCCTGTACGATGACCTGTGCAGGGAGAAGGACAGGGGGAGTGCGTCCCTGTTGGTTCTCCTGGACCTCTCAGCGGCTTTCGATACCATCGACCATGGTATCCTTCTGGATAGGCTGGCGGGATTGGGGGTCGGAGGCACCGCTTTGCGGTGGTTCCGCTCCTATCTCAACGACCGATTCCAGAAGGTGGTGTTGGGGGACTATGGCTCTGCGCCATGGCAGCTTTGCCATGGGGTACCGCAGGGTTCCATTTTGTCCCCTTTACTGTTCAATATCTACATGAAACCGCTGGGAGAGGTCATCAGGAGGTGTGGGCTGCGGACCCATCAGTATGCTGATGATACCCAGCTCTACCTCTCGTTTTCCACCAATCCAGGTGAGGCAGTGGCTGTACTGAACCGGTGCCTGGCCGAGGTAATGGGCTGGATGAGGGCCAATAAACTGAAGCTCAATCCAGACAAGACGGAGGTCCTGTTGGTTGGCGGTTCGGGCTTCAGAGAAGGTGACCTGAACCTTGTCCTGAATGGGGTTGCACTCCCTCCTAGGGACAAGGTCCGCAGCTTGGGAGTGCTCCTCGACCCGGAGCTTTCACTTGAAGCTCAGGTGACAACAGCGGCGAGGAGCGCTTTCCTCCAGCTTCGGCTGATTCATCAGCTGCGCCCCTACCTGGAGTACGACTGCCTTGCAACAGTGACTCATGCGCTGGTGACTTCCCGTCTTGACTTCTGTAACGCGCTCTACGTGGGGCTTCCCTTGAAGACGGTCCGGATACTTCAATTGGTTCAGAATAGAGCTGCCAGGCTGCTGACGGGGACTGGACGTTATGTTCACATGACGCCAGTTCTCCGTCAGCTTCACTGGCTCCCCATTGAAGTCCGGGCCCAATTCAAGGTGTTGGTAATGACCTATAAAGCCCTAAACGGCTTGGGTCCTGGTTACCTGAAGGAGCGCTTACATCCATATTTGCCCAGTCGCCCCCTGAGATCGGCGGGAGAGGCCCTTCTCCGGGAGCCCTCCGTGAGAGAAATTAGGAGGGTGGTTACTCGGAGAAGGGCTTTCTCAGCGGTGGCGCCTAAGTTATGGAATGCGCTCCCCAGAGAGGTCCGCCTGGCGCCGTCGTTATTTGTTTTTCGGCGCCAGGCTAAGACCTTTTTATTTAAGCAACATTTTAAATGCTAAATACAATTGAATTTTATCTGGCCAGGGCGGCTTATTTTATAATGTGAGTTTTAATTAAGATTATTTTATATGGATTTTAACTTGTTTTATCTATGTTGTAAGCCGCCCCGAGGCTTCGGCGAATGGGGCGGCATAAAAATGTTTTAATAAATAAATAAATAAATAAAATGGTCAAAACTGAATGAAACAAATATATAAAATCCTGATTAAAGTACCCTGGAAGTCAAATTGTTGAATCAAGTTCATTATTGAACT